CGTTGTCTAAGAACACGCTGATGTATGTCCGCGCATGCGCAGGACGGATCGGGTAGGGACAACCATAGATATCCATAATAAAGGATATGTAATAATGATATCTATGGGGACAACTCATAGATATCCATAATAAAGGCTAGATGTCTCGTCCGCGCTGCTGGCCAATGGGGGTCGACGTCCGCACGTGGCGGCCATCTTACCACAGGCAGCTCGCTCATTCGTAGCATTGTGTTTCAATGGCGCATGTACTGAAATAACCATAACTTCCTCAATTGTCTAACTATTCTCAAACTGTTTGGTTTGTTAAACAAAAGTCAGACATGTAGTTGTGATACTGCGCACTTAGGAATAATTATAACCATGGAATTTCATATGAAAAGAACACTGAATAGAACATACAGGTGCAATAAATATACACATGCACAAGGTATTTATGTTAAATCAATATATGCTATTAAAACTCAGTGTACAGAATGGCAACCATATATATATGGTCCCAGAAATATATATTTATATATATATTTTATATATAATGTATATATACAATATATATATAATATATATTGTATATATACAATATATATACAATATATATATATATTATATATATATTGTGTATATATATATATATAATATATATATATTGTATATATATAAAATATATATATATAATATAAATAATATATATATATATATATATATATTGTATATAAAATATATATATATATATATTATAATACATATATATATATATATAAACACTTTTATTTGAGTGTGATTAATTATTTCACAGTCCTAATTTATTTATATTTACATAAATACTTTTATAATATAAATATTACTGTTATAATAAATTTGAAATACTGACAAAAAAGGCTTATTGTGTGGCAACCTCTTGGTGTAGAATCATAATCCAGGTTTCAAATTAAAGGTTACACTGTGAAGTTTCATGTAGACTATTCGGATTATATATCAGTAATTACACAAAAGTTCCTATTTTTAAACCATTATAAAAGTGAAATTTATTTGCTATTAAAATTGGTACAATAGTCCCCTTCACAAGTATATATAGATGTAGCATGTTGAAATCCCCACCTACACTACTGTGATGGTATACACATGGAAGACAGAGATGAAAAAATGACCCAAAAAACATAGCTTGGTTAATGCCCTTTGAAAAGGACGGTTTTATTGTGTTTCTGTCGCATGTTGTTGCTCTGTAAGCCAAGGTTGGTTATTTTGGCAATGTGGTGCAGCCTTAGCTTAAAAAACAAGGACACAACCAATGTTAACAGCGTATGGTGGTGGCTGTCTATGCCATATCCGATGTGCTCTCCAAGCACAAACACATCCTCTGACCCTATCCTCTTCCGTACAATGTACACAACCTCTAGCACTTTGATGGGCTGTGATCGTCTGGTACATGAGGTCTGACGAAGAACCCACTCTGCTGCCCTGACTACCATCACTGTGCCTTCTGATGGAATCACCAGACCTCCATTGTTTTTTAACTTCAGCAGGTGGTAGCTCTGGTCCTTGATGGCAGATGCAGCATCTGTTACCAAGCTGGCACGGCAGACATCACAGGACAGCTTTTTCAGAGCCCGTCGCACAACAAATCCTGAAATAAGAGTTGTATTATTAAAATAATTTATAATAACCATGGGGAAATTAAGGGAACATTTATCTTTTTGGGCCATTGGGATATTGATTTCCCTCAGGTTTTGACTATTGGCAATCTTGTAATACTATTAAGTCATAGCCCCGCTGTTCCTGTGTACCAGAGCCTGTATTGTACATACATCCACTAATTAACTAACGATTATCCCAAAAACCAATCATAATTTCATATCTTACATGTGAAAGGTGATCCCACTGGCACTCGTTTTGACACTACGGCGATTGGAGCATCCGTAGGCTCCACAAAAGTCTGGCATCTTCCTATTAATAGACCCAGCAAATTCCTGTAACATAATGTAAGATGTTTTGACAAACCAAATCGATTGGAAATCATACATTAATCATGTATAAATTCTGCCTCTTCCACTGATGCAAAGTTGCTGGTTAACGTTAGCAGCTAGCTAAACTGTAACGTTAGCTGCTAACTTACTAACTTTAGGTCTCACTTCGCAGCTTCTTGTTATTAGCCAGCTAACGTTAGGCTAATAATGAAAATACAACAACACTCAGATTATTGTTATTAGCCAACTAATAGCTACAACCACATCCACAAAGATTGTAATTTACACTAAAGATTAATTGTCATACAATCGTTATTGATAACTTGCGCAAGTAACCGTGATGCACAACTATGCTGCACGATCAAGTCATTTTTCGACAAGAAAATCTGCAATTTCGACATGTTCAAGCATCAAGAATTATAGCCACGTTCATAACGTTTGTAAGAAACCAAACTGTTTGTAAATCCGTCAAGAATTCAATGAGATAAGAGTATTTGTGTTCGTGCTGATCACTCACCTTACATTAAGTACCACAGAGCACAACAGAAAGCCTGCCTGTGGTAAGATGGCCGCCCGGTGATGACGTTTGAGACTCCGCCGTAAGACATCTCAAAGTAAAACATTTGAAGCTTTGCACTGTTCTGCATTATCTATGTATTTGAGATTTTGTATTGCATTTTCATAAATTCTCTGCTTGATTGAAAAGATAATAACAACGCTTTTTTTAAATTTCAAACTCCACTCTTTATTGTACACACATTTTTACAACTTCAGAAAACATTAATATTTGAAGTGATGGTGAAACTTATATTTGTTTTGCTGTTATTTTTCAAAAGTAACTTTAAAAAAAGCAAAATTCTATTTGTGTGAAAAGAAGAATAAAAAAAGAATAAAGTTGAAACAGTACTTGATCTGGCATTCATTTATTAGCTGGTTTCTCTGTGAAAATTTCAAAACAGTCAATAATCACTGTGACTATGTCCAAAGGCCTCCACAAACTGATGAGGCATAATTTTGTGCAAGGTGTCTCTATCTGGCCACACAATTGCACGCTTTAGATTTGCCTATAAAAATGACAGCATTTCATTGAATGTTCTGTACACTGTCTTTGGTGAAACACGTAAGAGATAAGCAAGGTGTTGTGAGGGCAGATCCAATCTCAGACGCATGAAGGTTAACAGAAGCATTTGAAATGGACTGAGAATTTTATTTTGAGCAGACATGAGAGGCAGCAGAAAATTAAACAAAGGTTGCCAAGTTTGGTAGACCCGTATAGTACTTGACTTTTTCATTACTGTCTCCAAAGAAGCAATCAGAGATCTGCAGCTCATCAAGTTCACGCCGCAGCTCTCTGTTTTCTTCCAAAAAACGGTTCATCTCTGCACACCTGAGCACACACAGGTTACATTCTGTCTGTCCTTCCTGACGACCACCTTCTGTGTCATCCTTGGTGTTTGGCCGGCCAACGTTTTCAGCAGCCTTCTGCGTGTCAGTCTGTTGCTGGTTAGGGTTCTCTGTCGCCTCATGTGTAACTTCATCCTGTCGCTGAAGGATTTCATCAGCCTGATGGAGCCCCGTTTCAGTTGCTTGCAGGGCATTCTTTTTCAGCTGTTCCCGATAACCACGTCTTAAAGAGCGGTCTGTGTCTGTTGGTCTGATGTCAGTGTGGCCCAGATGCAGGGATGGAGCCCAGTCTGGGTCAGTCTCCATCATCTCATATGCGGGTTGACCTGCAAAGTAGATGAAAGGTTGAGTGTTTTACACATCTATTCAAAACACTATATAAAGCACCTTAATAACAGAGCCCATTAGATTAGATGAGTTATAAAATAAGATATGCTTATGTTTCCGACAGTGGGGGAAATTTGCTATACCGAAACAGCACAAGTACATCGGATTAGTAAGGCCAGAGGTAAATAAATAAACTGAAAAGCTCACAGGACGAACAAAGGATTATAATAAATAAACTTAAGTAGATTACACAGGATGAATAAATGCAGTGAGTTGGCTGACGAGTGGGTATGTACAGTGTTTTTATATGTACACTGTATTTATATATATTTATTCATAAAAAAATATATTTGTATTGCAGATTGTGTAAATAATTATATACAGATAATGCATTATTTATTAAATTTTAGCGGTCTAAAAAAGAAATAAAACAAACATCACTTTCCGCTTCTCTTCCACAGCATGTTTCAGTAGGTTTACATGAACTCCTGCAACTTTATAAGCAAACCATTTCAGCGTGTTGATTTCTATTAGTGTATATTTATAAGGACTTACCTTTGTGAAAATGCCGAGAGCAAACACGAACAAGAGGAGATATTTTATGAAACGTGATGTCTTTCCTTCTTACAGCAGCAACCCATGCAGCCCGACGCCTCTTTGTTAAGTCCTCTGTCTGCGGTCCGTATTTTTTTTCCAAGTGGGGAATACGAAAAACCGTACGGCCCCATCTGCTGTTTTCTGTTTAGAATTACTATTGCATCCTTTGACGCAGCGCCAGTGTCCCATTATTTCCAAAGAAGCAACTAGAACACGTCTGCTCTCTGTTAGTTTTCTTTTGTTTCTTGCTGCTGTCTCTTCACCACAGAAATGGCGCTAACTACCCTAAATGAATTGCGCTTTTGCGGAAGTGACGTACACTGTCACAGACCGATTATGGATATCTATGGGGACAACTGACAACCGCGCACGCGTTGCTAAGGACGCCCCTGCTGTTGTTAACAGGAATTAGAAAGAGCTACATCCGGTGGAGTGTAGCTGTGTCTCCACGTGAATAATCAATGTGAAAAAACAGTAAGTATAGGCAAGCCACTAACCACAGTTTTATAAAGCATTTTCATCCTTTGTTGATTCAGCTTGTTGTATTCGATTGTTTTAATTATCATTCATACTTTACAGTTCTTACAGGACTGCTAGCATGCGAACAATGCTATCAACCGGTATAAGATATTTATTTTCGTCTTACTGGTGCATTTTTTTATCACGTTGTTTTTTGTTTGGTTTTTTTAGAACTACCCCACTCCATGCAGTTAAGTTGTGGAGCGTCGGATGCAAAAATCGATGTTCTTAATTAAAGCTCTAAAGACAGAAACATTTGTTCTCCTTTCAGACGGATTCCGAAGAGGACGTGGTGTTTGTTTCTGAGATATGCGCACCCAAACCCGTAAGGATTTATATGGACCAGGTAATAATCATCTTACTTTATGATCTGTATTAATCCTATTTCAAAACATTTATCGTTTTTTTTGTTTTTTTATATAGCGTTGTTTCCGTGTTTCCACTAGTTTGTATGTGGAATCATTATCATTTAATTCAGTATATTTATTTTTGCTCCAATGCACAACACGTAATTTAAAGGTACTTTACAGAATAAATAAAATCTCTGACGTTGCAGTGATCACTCATACTGAGCTTGCCTGCTGCAAAAGTGGAGAGGAAAAAGCCCTTTTAACAGGAAGAAACCTCAAACAGAACCAGGCTCAGTGTGCTCCTCTATCTGTCCACACTGACTATATTGCATATCATACAAACCTGTATATATTCTGCATATATACTGATCCCCCAAATATCTTTTACATAACGGATCACTGTATGGAATTCCAACATTGATTTTTGTTTGTTTCCAACCCAAAAAACAGAAGGGCAAAATCATCTCCATCTTTCCTACATAGCAACACCCATCCAAAACATGGCTAATTGATCAACTGTTATCAGAGGCATGCAGAGAATAAAGTTGAAACTCCAAGACACGGCTGACGTCTTTATGTTCTTGCTACTGTGAGAGACTGGAAAACCTTTCACTTCTCAAGGATGTAGCGGCCTTTAGATGCAGTGACGGCTAAGCCAGTAGAAAGACATGGCTGATCACTGAATGACATGACTGAGAAAAAGCACAGTAATTTCTAGTATTATTTGACTTTGGCTGGTCAAAAGTGGTGAATGTTTATTTAATCCACTTTGTAAATGACTGCTTCACCCTCTATCCCACATTTCCTTTAACACTAGTCAAGATATCACTTTCATTTTTTTTTTTTTTTTAAGTATAGCCTCTTTATTTTTTTCTCTATGTTTTAACCCCTAGAACCCTACGGATCCACCAGTGGGTCCAGCTGCTACGTGACCTCGTAATTTTAACAAACCCCCAGTATTGATGTAAAAAACACATTTGGCACAGTTTGGTGACATTTTTGGATAAATGTGCCAAAATGGCCTCTCCGCTTAAGAAATTTCTCACTAATACCATTGTAAAATAAATATGATTCATCTGATTGAGTCCAAATTTGGTATATTTTTACACAACATTTAGATTTAAAAGTGTGTACTACTTTTTTGTGCTATAAATAATATTTTGGTAGTGTTTTGCAATGTTTATTTCAAAGAAAATTTTGGCGAGGTTCACAAAATGCAAAATATTTTGTATTTTGTCCCTAATATTTCAGGCAGGGTCAAAGCTACAATGGTGCTTACACCAGAAAACCATTCTATGACATCTTACCTTTACAGAGGTACCAAAGGTTTCTTCTTAAATCTAATAGCTGTGAGGCTATAAGTGATTTCGTTTTGTGTGTTTTTGTCAGGCAGAAATTTATTTATACCCCCTGAGGGTGTAAGAGGTTAAGAAATATTTGTAGGGTTAATTAATTTAGTAGAATCTGTTTAAACCACGTATCTATTACCAACCCCTTATTTTTAAAAGTCTAATTTTCTTTTTGAAATTTAGACCTTTAGATTTGTGTAGTTGGTCTGTTTTGTTATTTAAAGAAAGGTGGAAGAAGGGACTGTGGTGAAATGTGTACAAAGCTGAACTTTTTTTTTTCTACGTACAAGAAAGCTGTTCAAAGTGACTGGAAACATGGATGAATCTAAATACAGGACAGCCTGTAAGAAAATCTGTCAGAGGCTGTAAACTGCCTCAGACTGTTGAAGTTCACCTTCTTACAGTATTTAGTTACCATGCAGCTTGAATTGAGAAGGCTTCGTGTATTATTATTATTTACTATATTATTGAATAAAGACATTGTCAGGATAAGACCCTGATAAACGTCCTCAACATGAGGGAAACCGGCTTTAGAGTAAATAAAATGCCAGTATTTTTAAACTTTTTTTTTTTTCAGTTTCTTTACCATAGCAGAAATGACAGCATTTATATATTCTAATTTATAGCGTTTCTGTAAGGCCTCCACAGTTAAACTATGATGGAGAAGTTGTAACTGCTTGCTCAGCTTTGCTGATGATGTTTTTAATGTTTGCTTCATGTTTTTATAGTGAACATTTAGGCCGATTTTTCTGCTTGGTTTGCTGCAGGCAAAGCTACTGGCTCTGCAGAGAGAGATTGATGAGCTGTCCCAGCCCACACACCCAGCCAACCCTTTGGTCAGTATTTCCTCCCTCTAAATGTAGAAAAGTAAGCCTAGTTTTTAGATTGAATCTCTACTTTTATATCCAAAGTAACTGTTGTCTTTATTTATGATCTTGTTTAAACCAGAAAAGAGAGACAATTAGGAATAACAGGTCCACAGAAACAAAGATTGAGGAGGAGACCTGTGAGATAATGAAGAAGGAAAAAAAACATAAGAAGGAAAAGATGGCTCCACCTGAAGTCCAAAACAGTGGGGCTGAGGAAGGGAGCCAAGCTAAGATGAAGAAAAAAAAGAGACGGAGACAGGCCAAAATGGTGGTAAAAGAAGAGCAACAGGAAACTGAGCCGGAGGAAAAGAAAAAGACTAAAAGGAAGAAACATGATGGTATCCACATCAGCGCTGTAGAGGTTGAGACAAAAAAGAAACTGTTAGAACAAGACGTGAATCAAGCTGAAACGGTTACTTTAAAGGTTAAAAAATTAGAAAAGAAGAAAAGGAAAGAGAAGAAGATAAAAGATAAGTCGTTACACATCGAACCTGTTCATACAAAGAAAGGAAACAAAGAAATGCAGATTGGAGATGAGAATCCTCCCAAGAAACCCGAGAAAAAAAAAGATAACATTGTGTTTTCAAGCGAAGCAGAAACTGAAGAGATAGTTAAAGACAAGAAAAAGAAGAAGAAATTGGAAATTGCTGATGCCTTTGTTGAAACAAAAGCAAAAAAGAAATCAAAACTTGTAGAAAATGGGAATCATGTAGAACAAGAGACTGGGGTTAAGGAGGTAAAATTAAAAAAGAAAAAAGAGAAGCGTAAAACCGAGGGGTTTGAAGGCGAACATGAAGAAACTGAAATTCAAAGAAAGAAGAAAAGAAAAATTGAGGATCCAAAATCCACAAAAAAGATAAAGGAGACGTTCATAAACAGTGAGATGGTTGCAGAGGAGGAAGAAACTAAGGCAAAGGCCAAAAAGAAAAAAAAATCCATAGAGGATGATGGGATGGCACAATCAGAGGAGACAAAAACAAAGAAGAGAGGGAAAAAAATAAAAGTAGAGGAGGAAGAGTTGGACCAGCACATCACTCTGACTGCCGATCCACCGAAGAAGAAATCTAAGAAAACAGCTAAAGGGAATCTGGACATTAATACAGAGGCCAAGGCTGGAGAGAAAAAGAAGAAAAAGGTAAAAAAGGAGAAGGAAGATTCACAGGTGAGCCTAGTTAAGAAATTTTTGATAGCCTCTTTATAAATTTGTGGAATGGTCTGGAACTAGTCTGCGTTTGTTGTTTCAGGAGTTTCCTCAAGTTGATGTAGTTTTCCTATCAGCAAAGAGTGGAAACAAAGACGAGGTCTTCGTTAATCAGGTAAAAACAGCTCTGTCTTTTAGTTGAAACTAGCCAAACCCTGGATGGAAATATTCCTCAGAAAATAATTTCAAAAGAACACTTTTTGATTTGCAAAAGGGTGACTTATTTTATAAGAAAAAAATAATTTTCATAGTGTTTTTAAAACGTTCTAAAAGTGTTACTATGTCACCAGTTATTGACCGTTAAATCTTTTTCACCTGGCAACTCTTTGGTCTATAAGTGAAATAAACTTTGTCCAAATTAATGAGATTTTTCATACATCAGATTTTCTTAAATCCCAACTAATGATCAGTCATCTCATTTAAACCTATATACATATTACCATAGGCTGTCATTTGAAATATAAAAATGACTAAATTTGTTGACAGATTTTAACTTTACAGTAAACATGTTTCTATAAACTAGAATAGATTTGAAGCAGTCTAATATATAGTCGGGTAAACGTTGAATATTTGTCAAGTATCCATTGACTGTCCATTATATTACCAGAGTAGATATAACCAGCATTGAGATCTGCTGTATTTTCAGTGTCCCCTCTATTTGTTAGAGCTGTTTATTTTATCACAGGAGAGAAGAAAAGCTCTTCAAATGGAGATCGACGAGGCTTCCCAGCCTGACAAACATACAGTCAGTATCTTTTTTTATTTTTTACATATCTTAGAAGGGGAACGCATTTTTCCAGTGATTACAGATGACATTGCATTCTTCTTATCTACTAAATCAGAAGCAGGCTTCTGAACTCACCTTTCCTCCCCTTGTCTCTTTAGGGTCTGGGCCAGTGGAGTACGGCTCAGTTCGACAGCTCCCAACAGCAGCAGAAGTTCCTGCGGTTGATGGGTGGCTTTAAAAAGGGCTCCCAACCAGCGGGGACGACCAGCAGAGGAGCCAACATGGCACTAGGAAAGGATGCACAGCAGCAGCTGCAGCAAGGGCTTCTGGGAGAGTTTGAGCGAGCCCAATCACGGAGAATGGACTTCAATAACAGGGGGGCTGGGCTTGGGTTCACAGCGTCGTCCAATAAGAAGTTCAGTATCGATATCAATGCATCTCGATCTATCCGCTTTGATTCCTAACCTGGGTGAATTTTTTTATTTTTATTTTTTTACCTCCACAGTGGTGAGTTTTAACTCACCAGCAGGATGTCGGTTATAACTGATCTAAGTGTAAAATAAGTGAATGAGTCTGAAAAAAATTTCACTTTTGAGTGGCAACCTTGTGGAGAGAAACATTTTGAAAGTTTCTTTGAATTTTTTTTTTTTAATAAATGCCTAAAAACAACCTTAATGTTGCTTCATCCGGTTTGACAATTTTTTTTTAAATGCCTTAAGAAATAAAATGTAGAAGTTAAGTACTGAAGGGTTTGAAAGCATATCAGCATTGGAGAGATCTGGACACAGAAAAAATAGGTTAACAAAAAAGACTGAAGACATTGCTTAGATAGTCATTTATTTTGAGTTATGCAGTTATAGTCAAGGAAAGTAAGAACAGCAGAAAAAAAACCTCTTGTTCCTCATGAATCATGAACATTCAGCTGGAATATTGCACTGAAATCATTGTGCCTCAGTATTCCAAACATAACTTGGTTAAAGTCTGACTAATTCTGGCTTTCCAGTTCAACACCAACATAAACAGGCCATGCTACAGCTTAACTCAATATAATGCAGTTTGGACAGATAAGAGTTTCTTCAAGATTTTTTTACTGCTAGATTAGCCAAAGTACCTATAAAACAAGAATTACTAATCATTTTGAGTGCTTTAGTCATGAAAGTCTGTAATATATGGAGTTTTTTTAGACTGATTTGTTTATTTTTTTGCAAATGCATAGAAGTTCCTGAAAATACAGTTTTTTACTCTTTAGTGGGATTTAATGGAGTATTTAAAAAACGTGAGTATCTAAGGAATAACATTTATTATAACCCCATAATGTAAGCTATCAGAAAAGGGCCCATTTAGGAGAAAAAACACTGAAAACTTTATTTTGCTTCAAGTGATTGTATTTCTGTAAATCTTCACACTGCATGAATTTCACTTTAGGGTAGTCAACTTTCAAACTTAAATTTTAGGACACCAAGTGTCCCTGAGCAGGACTGTTCACCTGATTCTCCCTTAAAATGCTTAATATATGTATAAATGTGCCATAAAATGAGAGCGTGTATAAACAAAACGCTCCACAGAACCTCATTCAGGTTCAAAAGGCGTGCTATACAAATACAGACTATTCCCTTTTAGTACTGTCCACGTTGAAACCGTCACATTGTACGGTTAGAACGCAGAGCACGGTCCATTTCAACACGGTTTGTGTTAAGGACAATGTCATTAGTACCCAGTTATGGTTACTACCAGCCAAGTGGTGCAGCAGAGAAATACAGAGCAGAGCATTCACCTTAGAAGCTTGACATGTTTTAGATGGTAGAAATTAAAGTTTAAATGTAACCTTGGATCCTTTTCTATCCTAGTTTTAAATACTCCATGTGATCCCACTGTGATGACATCTGAACTGTACCTTCAAAGCCATAGACATTATACCTGCAGTGTTAAAACTACAGTTAACTTTGACATTTCATCACCTCAAATCAGAGAATCTAAGGAATAATAAAAATGATAGAACCAAAGGTGTTGTGAAGTAAAATTAAAAAAAAAAATGCATGGATTTCAAATGTTTAAATAAAAATCTAAAAGATATGGTGTTCACTTTATTTACCTCCCTCACTCAGGAAGCAACTGAAAGTCTTTTGGGTTGCACGGATTTAGAGACTTGCTGACTTTTATCAGGCCATTCTAAACCACTTTCCAACCTGGACTGCCCTGTATTTAGCTACATCATGCCACTGTGACCAGCTACTCCCTCAGCTGAAGATCCCACATCCCCACCACATGAATCTACCACCATGGGTTTAGTATGTTAGGCTATACATTTTTCAAAGGACTGTTTCAAGCTGAGCATTTCTGTTTAGATGATAGGTCACAGTCTGTTAGGATTGCAGCTGTTATATTCTTCTCATTTGAAGATATCTGGCTGATCAGGTCTCTAAGATGCTCAACGTTTGCCATTTTGTTCTATCACAAAACGAATTTCTCAGACTTAATTCACAAGCAGGGGGACTCTATCAACTCTGGAAAGCAGTGGGCTGGGAAGAACTGATACATGAATCTACAATTTTGAAAACCATGCATTTCTTTCTCCAATTTCAGGTTTATGCAATTCTTTGTGTTTGCTGGTGAAGGTTCTCAATCATCCAGGTCATAGTCATTAAAAAATGAAAAAAATAAAACAATTGATAGTTGGGAACAAGTCTTTGCTGTCTGTATCTTAAATTGAAACAAAGATGGTTCCTATAATCTGCAAGTTTCCTAACCAATTTCTCATTCTCAAGCATTATTCCGTGGGAGTCTTTCCCAAAATAGAGTGCATTATGCTGGTGAAGGTTCCCAGTCATCCAGGTCATAGTCACTCCAACAAAAAAAATGAAAAAGACACTAAGATGGATATGGGGTATTGCGGTCTAACAAAAGAAGCCGAACGACCCCATTCCAAATGGGTAGATCACTTCGTTTGTTCCAATTAGCACATTTCCAAACAAAAACAAGGCTTTGTTAGACTACTGTATAAAAACTCAAACTCAACGCTATTCCTGACATTTTGAGGATGGGAAGTGACATTCAAACTTGGAAACCAAGTCTAGTGGATTGTTTTAATTATTTTTTTTTTATTCTAAGTGATGATTTATCATATGACAGCATGGAATTAACATTATTGTGATGATTTAGAATAATTCAAAGTGGTATGAATATTTCTAGACATCCCTGTATGTTGGTGGTTGGTCCTTTTTAGAATAAATCTTAGCTACAAATCCTAAACTAGGCAGCAGAAAAAAACCATCAGGTCCGGTTTAAATTTAGACCCTACATTTTTTATTTTAGGTGTGTTGGGCACAACAGGCCTCTGATTCTTATAACATTGATTGATTGATGACAAAATGACAAGTTAAGGAGATGGGGCACAAATACTTAGTGCCCGTTTTCTTTAATAACTTCAAAAGTTTAGACATGGCCTCTAATTAAGTGGCTTCATCCTTCAGCAGAACAGCAGCAAAGATACTTCTGTCCGACTCTGCAATAATACTAGAAAAACATTGAATTCATTTGAAACAGAACCTTTTCCTCTGGGTAGAAAATTCCCTGAAATCTCAGTAACCTTAAAACGTTAAATCCTGACCGGATGCAATCCTACTTTGGTTTCCAGGACGATATTCAGGATGGCTCTGACTATCTCTGTTTTTGGCCATTGGAACTTTAAAAAAAAAAACAACTAAATTTTGTGGAAATAAAAATAAATCTTTGTCAGTTTGGTCTCGCTGGGCTAAATCTAGCACAATGAAAATGTGTAGAAGCAAAAGCCATAAACAAGACTTAATGAGCCCCCATCAGAAAAAAACAGACAAATGTCAGAGGAAAAGAGTTAGGAGGCCACTTGATAGAAGGTGCTTGTTTTCTACCCCAAGGCGGTGTGTGACAGACTTTTAGTTGCTCTCATGCTTCCAGGTATTCGGGCTGCACACGGGCCACTTTCCGAAACTCTTTGGCATTGGTCTGCGGGCACTGCATCTCACGCCAACTGATGGGGATCATCTGGGCACCTGGCCGAGCAAACAAAGAAATAGAGGTAAATAATATAGATGTATAGTTCTTTTTCCAGGTGAATCATCAAAATAAGTGGTCCTCCAAACTGTCAATCATTCTAGTGATATGTTTACATAAGGCCTTCCCATGTGCTCAACCTCATTTTCCCCATTACCGGTGCTATGCTGAGAAATACCTGCCTGCCGAGAATTACCATCCCTCTCGCCAGTGACGAGAAAACGCATTGAAATATGAACAAAAAGGGAATGTTTAAACTAGTGGTGGGCATAGATTAATTTTTTTTAACTAGATTAATGTCACTAATCTTGGAAATAATCTAACTTAAAAAAGCTCATTTGAATTCTGCCAAAGGGCTTCCTGGATCAGAGTCAGAATTACATTATTAATCCCTTTTTCTTGCAGTGCAACCATTTATAAAAGATAGGAAAAACAAGATTTTAAATGCAAATAAGATATAAGAGTAAAATAAGGATAAGAATAAAATGAGATAAGGATGATATGTGTGTGCCGTCTAAATAATAAGTAAAAGTAAGTCTTTGAACAGGTTTCTGAAGCCAAGTGGTGTGGTAAACCAGGGGCTAATCTCCTGTTTCCAAAATGCATCTCAAACTGCTTGAGAAGTCTTTTCTACTATGATAACTGCAGATGAAAATAAATAATATTCAACAAGATGTATTTGTGTTTATTCAGATAAACATGAATTCTGAAATGTAGGCGTACATAATAGATCATGATGAACTGTTTACAGTCAGTAGCTTTGTGTCAGTCAGTCAAAGCCCTATTTCTCCTTTTTCCACCACTCAGTCAGGCAGTCGTCCTGTGAGGCTGGAGTAGCCGCAAAGGCTGCTGGGTAATGTCAAGATAGGGAAAACATCCCCATTTTATCCTAGTTTTGTGTTAAAAAGGGTTGTTTATGTTGGTAATCATGCTAAGCTAACATTATTTTCTGGACAAGCATGTCCTGGAGTTTCGTATTGTATAAACAGCTACGTGACTTGACCTTTGTTTCAGCATATGTTACTTACCTACTGGCAAAAAAGCTACAGTATCAAAGTGAAAGTCATCATTAATATAGACCCCTAACATTGAGAATAGATTAATTGCAATATTTTGTAAATTGCCTTGATAAGAGTCTGGTGTTAATGCAGCATGTTAAAGCCGATATAATGGCCCACTCCACTAGTTTAAATATATTCTCAATGTTTTCCTAATTGTTATGCATGGTTGGCCTAAAATTGAGAGTTTTGGTGGAAAGATAAATTCAAATTAATATGATTTTTACTTGTATAATGACACATTTTAGTTGATGTGCTACAGTCAGCATCCGATGAATATGTTCTTTGCTCAGAGGACGGCATTTCTCGCTTCTGCTATCAATACCATTCTATAGCCTTTCTGAGAAGAAAAACTAAGAATATGTTTAAAAGCTCCTTTTTTGTTCATATTTCAATACATTTTCTCATCAACGTGTGAGAGTTAAGGAAGATGCACGCTCCCGCGTCAGGGCAGGTGTGTCTCTGCATTAATCTGTCCACCAAAACTCTCAATTTTAGAGCATCCATGCATAAGAAATATGAAAGCATTATGAATCTGTTTAAAAGTTTCCTTTACGTTCATATTTCAATCTGTTTCCGCATCAGTGTTCGAGAGGGGACGTCATTCTTGGAAGGCAGCTTTTTCTCAGCATAACATGGCGAGTCTGAAATAGTGGAAAATTGCAAATCTTCTTTTGGAAAGTAAGCTTGTATGAGTGATGCAAACAGCAACTTTTGAACAGAGCATGCACGAGGAGATGTGGGCTCATGCATGGTCTCGCACATGTTAAATAGACTAAGTAAAAAATATTACAAGTGATGCTTAGAAGAAGTGAGATGACTTCCACTGATATGATGGAAAATAAGAATCATCCAAATTCTTGCAAATATTTTCAGAATCAAGCTTAAAAATGTGCCTGTTTTAAGTGTTTCTAAATAAGCAGTGACAAATTCATCACAGTGGAACAGAAATTAAAAATCTTCTTCCTGCTGACGTCCTGTGCATTTGGAATGATCTAATTAAAGATCTGTAAAGTGAACCACGGGAATTACCTGCTTCGCTGTGAGCCACCACCACACCCAGCTCATTCTCTGCCGTCGTCAGCAAGTATGTGGACTGAACGTCTCCGAGGGAAATCTGTCGTCATGAGTCAAGGTTTCAACTCTAAACAGGGCAGGAGCAGGGTTATTAGCGTAGCACCCTTTCTTCATAAGGTCGTTCAAAGTGTTTTACAAGAACATTTAAAGTATGGAGAAAAAGAAAGACAATTGAATAAGATTCAAATAAGCTCTTGAACTTTACAATCAATATGCACACATTGTTTAAACAAATACTAAAATTACCTGTTTACACATATCCTGCTCTCAAGAAACTGATGATTAAAAAAAAAAAAAAAAAAACTTGTTTTATGGTACGGCTTTTAATTTGAAGGGCCAGTCACATGCAGCAAAGGAATCCCAAAAGACAAAAAATGAAAGCATCTAAGGTATGTGCTACAGTCATGAAGGATTAGTCACAGACTTAAGAATAAGACCAGTATAGGATACAACTTTTGCCAGAACAATGTCACCAGGTCGGAAGCTTTTGTGTATGTCCACCTGTAACAAATGGGGAACACAGCTTATAATTCATACGGCTTCAAGAGGAACTGAGGAGGAGGTGTAAGCAATGATGAAGGAAGCAACGATTTGAGTGAGAGCGTCAGTCATCACTCACCTTGTCTTTCTCAGATTCTCTGACATCTTCTTTTCTGTTGAGACACAAACCAGAATATTTAACCCAGTAAGGCAATAAAACAAGCCGTTTCCCTAAGTAAGCACTTCCTGCTTTACCTGATGGTCCCTCTGAAGCGATCTTTCAGTGGTGTGGACCCGACGTAAAGAATGTGGACCTTTGCAAACCTGGAGTTGATGCCAGTCACCTTTTAGATAAAACATAAATAAAATTTAAGATTTTGAAAACAACTACAATTCAGGTCTCTGCTTAGAGGCCTTTTTTATTTATTTGGAAAAAAGGAAAGATAGACCTCTTCTACATTATGTCCTTTATTTATTCTGAAGGAAACATGTTTACTTATTTTTTGTGATCTCTATAGTGTGGATAAATCAATTGCTATTTCATTTTTTATAAACTTCAAGTACTAAAATTTTACACAAAATAATTAGTGGTGGGGAAGAATTTAAATTTTAAATCAAGTTGATTACAGACTATAATTAAAAGGTATAGAGGAGGATTTTCACAAATTTTTGAAAAGACCAGCTCTCTCCACTTAAAATGCTTTTTGCATCGCTCATACAAGCTTACTTTCCAAAAGAAGATTTGCAATTTTTCCACTATGTCAGACTCACCACCGGTAAGTGAAAATTGGGACTAGCACGTAGGACGGCCTTACGTAAACATATCACCAAAATGATGACAATTAGAAAGACCACTTATTTTGATGATCCACCCGGAAAAAGGACATCCTCCACTATACCTTTAGTTAATCACATTTAAATCAAAAAACATATAGCAACAAAATAAACCACCTTTTCAGTCAAAATAAACACTAATTTAATATATATATATATATATATATATATATATATATATATATAAAGCTATACACGTGGTATAGACAACACCACGTGTATAGCTTTTAATCCAACTATTTAGGTTAGTTAAGGGTATTCTGCCCTAATCACTTGTCTAATGGTGGTCTTTTTTTAACCTTTTGTTTTTGAAGTCTTTAAAATTCAACAATTGTTTTATAATCTTTGTTTGACTACCTAATTATTTAACTTTAAGCACGTTTAAACATTGAATAGACATGTAGTAGGCCATTCTGAGCAGCCTTTTGACTAACCCATTTCTTACTCTTAAGCGTTTTTGTGAATAACAATTTCTACCTTTACTTAAGTAAAAGGCCCTCCACCCTTCCTACATAAAACAACTGTAACATTATATTTGACCTAATGCTGACACACATCTTCTCATTATGCCAGAACCTATTCTTTATCCCTTACCAATGCTGCTGTTATATTGAAAGTAATCCTTGCAGACAAAAAATATATTATCCTATAATAAATTTTTCTAATTCTAATATCTTCAGTTAGTTGTTACCAGTATGTTAGGATTTATGCAGACATCCTTCTCCTCCTCTGTTGCTGCTGTTTAACACCTTAAAGCCTGCTCTGCTTCACTTTTCAGCTGCACTTCTTGCACTGAATATATCCATATTTTTTCAGACATTTTGCTGCATCCGTTTAGAGAAACTCAGCCTCTTTCGCTCCACAATGACTTTTATAGCGGACATAAGGCGACTCAGACTCCGGTCGGCTAGAGAGTTTGCTATTTAACTATGCTAAACAGTGAGAGGAGAGTGAGGGCTGAGCTGAGGAGGTCAGAGAGAGATTTCAGAAAACTAAACCAACCGCTGTGTATATGGTCTCATATAGTCTACTTACAAGTTTAATAAATCCAACAAGGATTTTATGAGTTCAAACAGGCTCATGCTCCTGTCTATCCGTATGTATATAAGAAATTGCAATTAGCTGCATAATATTTTTTAAGTATTAAAATGTTTCTAATTAATTGATTGAAATTATTGCATTAGAGTCCCAGGACTAAAAATAATACATTTTAAGTCTTGATATCATTTCATCTTATCATCAGTGAATAATTTGCAGTATATTCAGTTCCTCTGTAAATACATATAATTCCTAAAAAGTGTTTAATCTAATGACAATGTTATGACCTACAAAGTGATGGCAAACACCTTCCACAAGCACTAGAACTACAAAGCTGACCCTTTGCCGATTGCAGTATCCAGTGTTGTTAGAAAAGAAAAGACGGATATTAAAAATTATGCACAAGATACAGCGATAGACTTATTCAAAGCCAACAGTTGCCTTGAATAACACTTTAATTATATTCAAATTTATTTAGATACACATGTTTATAGGTTGCAGGTGCCTTTGTATAGTTCTGGGAGTAGCATGGGTAAGTTCTCTATTCACAGAATTAATATACCTGCTGGGTACAAGGAAAGTATTGGATGATTGTGTGGAAGAAAAAAAAAACAAGGAAACTGAGATTATAAGACAAAATATTTTTTTTTTTCCTGGAAAACAGAAATGTATTAACTTGTGCTCACATCTGTGCCTTTTAGATTTATTGAGCTTAACGATGATGTGGATAACATTAACAACTTTGGAGTTTTTGATTTATGCTGAATGTTAAGGTGCCAAACTATATTTGTGGCATGGGAAATAATTTAGTTTCTCTTTGTAATATCAAAGTGTCATCCGCATAATGTGACTTTTTCTCTAGGCCACCAAGCCACAATCAAACTATAGTAAACCATTTCCATTTACATACCTTGCAGGTGACTATGGCTCCAACATCTGGCAACAGCTGTGCTTCTGTTTCCCTAACCACAGATATCACTGGTAGCTAGAAAAGTAAAGACAAATACCTAATTAACCCTATTCAAATGTAATTAGTATTGCTCAGATTTAAATACATACTCTGTTGTAGAAGACATCAAATTCCTGTGCAATACAACTTAAATACTGAATAATTATATAATGCACAACATGTAAAGATTTTCGATTCTATGTATACATCAAGTATAGAAAAAAAAGTTTTGTGTGAAACAGTAGATAAAAATAAATTATTCAGGAAAATGGTTAACATGAGACAACTAAAAACAAATCGGCTGGGACTGTGTGCCTCTTATGAAAGAAGAAGCCAAAGACCATTGTTTCATTATGAAACATTACAGATTAAAAAAGATAGAAAACAGCAAGTACATTCAGCCGACAGACGAATGCATTTAATTTCTGAACAGTGTTAATGTTTAGGATCAGTCAGGGACTTTAGGATCTGTCACAGTCTGAGACATGTTCTAAAGACTGACAGATCCTAAAGTCTGTGTCACAATGTTTAAAACATTTCACATACTATGAAACTCCTTCAAATGATTAAGGTACATCTCACCTAAATATGCAGGTACTTCTTTTACTGTTGTATGACTAAAATCTTATCTGATGTATATTATATGAAAACTAAAGAAAACTAAAACACCAAGACAAATTATTCCATTAAGGTTGAAGTGGGAAGAGTTCTAATCCACCCAGGGAAAAATACAGACATCCAGTCCTTTTAAACAGGTTGTAGAAGTGGGGAACCTTTCAATGTGACCACAGGACATGTTTAAATACTGAAACTAACTAAACTAATAAATTAAATAAATAAACCCTCAAAAATCTAACTCAAAAACAATCACGATTTAAAGAGCAAACCTACCTTTGCACAAACAGTCCAGAAGAAATGTATCTTGAGTCAGTATGTTACAAAAAAATTTATACAGAAGACTAACTGAACATAGTTTTTTCATCCTTATGCTTCTTGAATATACTTCAGTCCTAGAGACAGGAAATGCAACTTGTTTTTAATAAAAAAGAAAAAAATCAACATCATAGGAAAAATTTATTGTTCAGCTTATCAAATAAATATTCGCTGAGACACAACAGACCAAAGTAAAGAAACATCTCTAATGTCCTGATGTGGAAAAACATCCAAGGTCTTTGAAATGGCAGGTACAACAGTGACCCTGCTCACCGAGGTTCTCACTTTCATTGCTTAGTGTGAGTCAGCCTCAAAAACGTTGCATAATACTCTTATTGTAAGCCTTGCATATCTGGCAGCTTTCCAAATGTCTGTCATCCACTCAACTACTCAGCCAAACTCGCTCCTCCTCGTAAACCTCACCTCCTCTCCCTCGTTTTTCTTCAGCACATAGCCAGCGAGGGAGGAATATATGTAGCCATGTCGCTGATACACTCCAGTGCCAGCTCTGCAGTCGTCTACACTGCACAGTTTCTCACCTGAATACAAAGAGGAGAGGAGAGTTAATACATTTAAAAACATTAAATACAGTAAAGTTATTCACAGCCATGGTTGACATTGGTTCAAATAATTTTTAAATTGACCAAAATGTTTCCTCTGACTGGAAGTAATAGTGATGCTTAAGTTGCCCGAGTCTTCTGATTGAAAATATGTGAAGGAAGCTAAGGATTAGATTGATGGATTTGGAGCTCATCACCAAAGATAAATTGCACAACAACAGTTGGTAATTGTCAAATTTTGCTTTATCTATCCTGCATCAGATATAGAGTTTTAAGAAGGGTTAATTTGCCATATCTAACTATTCAAGTAGAAATATGTTGCAATATCACTACTTTCACTTGAGCACAATTTTTTGATACTCTACCAACCTCAGTATATCTCAATTTTTATGATAATTACTGTAATAATTTTAAGCTGTCAGTCGTTCCTGCTCTCTATGTATTCATAAACATTTTAAAACTGCATTAATGGTTTAATAAGCACTAATAAACAATGAGTTTAGTTCCATTATTTGGAATCTAAACTGGATTATATTGAAATACACATGGTGAGATGAGAATTGAGAATTTCGGGTAAAATGATTTGATTATTTCTGGTAACTATAGAATGATTTGGAGAAGATATTACAGAAGGAAACTGACAAAAGCTATAAAACAGATACACTTAAACTTAAGAGTTGTGATTCATGTTGTGTATAATTATGTCTCTTTAAGCCAATAACCATTCATATTAAATGCTGGGCCTCATAATAAAAACTGACATAAAACCTTGCTTATGTTCAGGGACAATAAGAAGTTGCGGGTTTAATTTAGGTGCATAAAGCAGCAGTGCAGAGGAATGTGCAGAGCTGCCCTAGGGCGATGGGCAGGGCAGGTGATGAAACCTGCGGTGAGAAACTAAACAGCCGAGCAAACTCGATAGAACAAAATACAATATGAAAAACAATTATTATTATTTTATTTCCTCTTTTATATTACTCAGGTTTGGCTCACTTTAAATATGCTGGGGTACCGACCTCGCAGTCTACTCGTGGTTACTGCAAATATTCTACTGTTTCGCCTATGGAAGACAATATACCGAACCTGGTATCCGACTTTTTAGCTACACATAAACCTCGTTATCACATAAAACAGCAGCAATGTCACAAACACAGTTTAACTTCAGAGTGCAACACATTTCAAACGGTTTAATCCGAGGACTCACCTGGGACACACAATCTCAGGGGCGACATGTTTTCGGGGAAGAGCAAAGGGCCACCTCATTGGCTATGACCAGAGCAGGGTAAGATTCTGATTGGACAGTTTTCTTTCTTCTTCACCAAATCAGCTTTAGGATGCTTTAGAGCCACCTACCGGACAGGAGGTGTAACAGGCGATACAAGTGGAGACAAGAAAAACAAAACAAACGTATCTAGGGACATTCATTCCTGTCGGTTTAGCCTCCATCTGATATGCTTCCTATAAAATATGCGGAAATAATTATCTGGAGTGTCATTCATTTGTCATCCATGTTTTCCTAGTAGTTTAAATATATTAACCTTTATAAATTCTAAGACCAGTGGCAAATGGATAATTCCTCTTTATAAGGATACCTCCACTATTTTTTAAATTTATTAAATGAGTTACATCTCATATGCCATAAATATATATATTTTTTAAATTTAGAAATGCATAGACTTTCTGATTTTTTTTTACTGCGATAAGACAAATACTGTAAATGTAATCTGTATGAGTGAGGATGGAGGGAGGTTAGCAGGTTGGTGAACTCATGGTGGTTTGTAGTCCATTTTACAATCCCCCATATAAGCTGGAGTTGTAAAGCATTTTTGTTCTCTTGTTATCTTCCACTCCCACATGTGCAAGAACCCAAAGTAAATCAGCAGGTTTTCTTTCATAAAAGATTTGATATTACATGTTGCAAATCCAGCATTGTTACATAACAAACTGTTTCATAATGGTTAAAATAAAAATATTTTGCTCCTCAAAGTCTTAAATATGTATAGGGAATGTGTATTCATTTTCCCTGAGCTAATACTGTAAAAGCCTTAGCATGTCATCTCTAATCAATATGACAATTAAAAACAATCTGGGATAAAAGAGTTTTGGTTGCACAGTGTGTCATCTCAGGCCACACAACAGGCAAAGCAGAGCACAACCCAGCCGATTTCACCCACAACATTCAGTTCCTTAAAGCTGCAGTCTGTAACATTGAGAAGAGAGCAGACTTCGACTGAAAATTTGAAGAAAAACAGGTCTCACGCCACTCCCCCACCCTCTCTGCTTCACTCATGCCCCCCCTCCAAGCTCCACCCCTCTCACAGCATCTGCGCAGCTACCGCATGCGACCAGAAGGGGGGGGGGGGGGGGGCGGGGGGGCGGGATTCAGCGTGTGTGAGCTGTGATTGACACTCCATCAGACGCTCCTCTGGCTGTGATTGGTTGTTTTGACTCGTCCCGAATTATTCTTTCCAGATTGAAATAAAGGCAGTAGGCGGGACCATTTGAAGCAGTTTTTTTCACAGGTTACATATCACATGTACTGCTGTCTGGGCATAGGGACAGTTTTAGCCAATATGACAAAAAAGTTATTTTTAAAAACTTACAGACTTCAGCTTTAAGAGAAAATATGATAAATATAAATTCAGTCTCTTATACCTTAAAAGAAAAAAAAAATGTAGCACATATATTGAGAAATACCTTCAGCTCTGTTAGATTAAATGGAGGAAATTTGTGTGCAGCTTTCAAGACTTAATACATATTCCCTTCCTTCTGATTTTGGTGTGGATTGTGGGCCTTTTAAAGCTGAAGTCTGTAAGTTTTTAAAAATCCCCCCCCCCCCCCCCACACACACACACACACACACACACACACACACACACACACACACACACACACACACACACACACACACACACACACACACACACACACACACACACACACACACACACACACACACACACACACTATATATATAGGAGAAAAAAATAAATCATTAAATGATGTCACAAATATTTATTCTTTTTTGCCACAGCAAACAATGTTAACCAGTGTACAATGAAACACTTTGCCCTTTTCAAGAGCAGCCAGCGGTGTTCCCAGTGAGGTTTACCTGCAGATACTGCTCGTAAGCTGCAGATCAGCTCATCTGCTTTCCATTCTGTCACCACTCTCGGGTCCCTAATTGCCTATTTGGTCAGTGCTTCAACTATGTTCAAGGGTCTAAGAATGAAATGTGTTTTTCAGCGTATAACTACGACCAATAAACACAAGCAACAGGCTGATTGTGTTAAAGCCAGAAAAAAATTGTAAAGTGCACATTTTGGGTCTACTTGTGTGCAAGTCTGTGATGACAAACATTAAATAACCTTTTTTTTTCCTAACAGAATGTGTGAGAAGAGGATGATTGGTCTATATTCTGTGCTTCAGCAGGAAGGACGAGTCTATTTCTTGGCTTTGCCCTGAGCGGCCACTGCTTCCATGGCCTTCCTGACGGTCTCCTCGTCTCCCAAGAACTGCATTGGTCCTACGGGCTTCAGGTTTTTGTCCAGCTCATACACGATGGGAATGCCTGTGGGCAGGTTCAGCTCCATGATGGCTTCCTCTGACATACCTGGGAGAAAGGAACACTCAAATGTTATGTTATTTTATTTCAGGTTTTCTGCAAAGGTTTTTTATATTACATTTTTAGGGCCCGTATGTATAGACAAAAGTTAAAACAATTGATTTTATGTCATTTAGTAAACTTAATAATCCAGGTAAAGTCTCCTATAAAGCTTGTTGATAATATGGAAAACATTTTTTTTTTTTACCTTTTTTAAAAATGCAATAAAATTGGTCTCAGGGGCAGAATTTGAATTATTAATGTTGCAAAATGAAAAACCAATAAATTTATGGATTTTAGAAGATGCATCCACAGCTGTATGACTGCACTAATCCAACAAATTAAAGTTAAATCAATCACTAAATAGGTCAAACCGCTCTTCAAGCATTTGGCCAGGCTGAAGGCCCATTCATACCTCACGTAAAAGACGGATACGGATACGTGTGGAGTGTTTCATACGTTCTAACCGTCGATTTCGTCCGTACTTTGACACGAAAATTGGGAGCTTACGCTTACGGACGAAACGGATCAATACGGAGCAATACTACCGGAAACGGTGGGGGCGCTATAGAGTTTTTAGTACAAAATGTCAACAAAATCACAAAGAAGGTTAGAATTCTGGGCTTTAAACAATGGAACATCCATCTCCCGCATAGGCAACACCAAATTGCAAAATTCCCCATCAAAAGGGCGACTGATATTCAATGGCCTCACGTTCCACCGTCGATCTCGTTTTTTACTTTTCTTTCGCTTACGGAGCAAATGCAACAGAATCAGGTCTTGGACCATCGCCATGTTTTGATCAATGACGAATCATTGGCGCCCAGCACTGCCACCTAGAGGAAATACGGGTTATTGCGCACCTCAACGGACGGAGGTATGAAGGAGTCAACGGATAGAACGTACGGACAGAAATACGGACGTGCAGGCCAAACGTGAGGTATGAATGGGCCTTTAGCTGGAGATCAACCCGCAACACCAGCATTACTGAAATCAGTCCATCTTCCTACACCATTAAAATACCATTACAAGTAGGTTAACAATGTAGCTTTTATAATCATTTACTTTTATTTAATCAAAATATTCCAACCATTTTTAGTGTTTAGATTTTTTGCATCTTTAAAGCCTATTTGGCTATAAAGTTTTCTGCATAAGCTGATTTTTTTGCTGCATGTGTGACATGGGTCTGATATTTCTGTCAACTAATTGTCCTGGTTTAAATGTCTTTGCTTTTGTTGTGTGGCCTGACATGACACACTGCAACCAAAACAAGCTTGTTTTTAATCATTATGTTTGGATTAGAAATAGACTGATCAGCCTTTAAAAACCCTCATCATTGACCTCTTAAGGGTTCTCTGTAACGTATTTCCAACTTGTCGGCCTTTACACTGAAAATAAGGCTCATAAAAAATTTGTTTAATGACCCAACAGGCATTTGACTGACATTTGGGCTTCCTCCCCAGCACATTTCAGAACAGACTGTTGTTAAACTGAAACTTGTAGAATTACATTAGAATTATGCCAACACCATTGCTGTGTCCAAAAGTCCGCCCTAATCACTATATAGGGTCCTATATAGTGATTATATAGGGTACTATATAGTGATTACACCATTTTAAATGACTTTCTGAACGTTTAGTGGTTAAGTTTAAAAGCATTGTTTGCTATGAGTTTATGGTCTTCAGCCATAAGCGAGCAGCTACGGCCCTTTTCTGTAATCAGAGAGAGAAGAGCGACTCCTGTTTCTAAACTGAAATGTACTCACACATGCCCAAAGCTTCCACTGATTTCCCCTGAATAAAAGGATGCAACTATATATTTTATCCCCGTTTCCCTACAATAGATCCCTCCCACATTTTATTAATTCCACTGTGTGCCTCTGCTAACTGTCCTTAAGAAGAAATTGATAACCGATTGACTTATGTTGTTTTAGTTTAAGTCAAGATTTTTTGGAATACTAGAAATATTGTTATAAAGCTAATCTTGAGTTTTAAAAGTATTTGAATTACCTTCTGTCTTACCAATATTAATTTACCATCATTATGACATAAATTACTAACCCCCTGCCCCACTAAGTTAATGACAAATCCTGGTGTGAACTCTGCTTTAGTGTGGAATCTCTCAAGCTTAAAAAAAAAAAAAAAAAAAAAAACAACACCTGACAAAGTGGACCAGCCTTATGAAATTAAACAGAGATAAATTCTTCTTAAAAGAAGACCAGTAGTTCTTTTTTATTCTATTAGTTTCAGGAAAAGGAATTACTAAACTACATTAATATGGACAAAAATATTATACATTTATATGTTTAGCAAATGCTAGTAATCATTGATTTAATTTGTTATTTAAACAAAACATTTCTTTCAAATCAAGCTTTTTTTTAAATGTATTATTTATACTTAATCTTCCCTTCATTTCTTTTCCCTTACCCTCAAGATGCTTAACAATGCCCCGCAGGCTGTTGCCATGAGCAGCAATCAGGACCCTCTTCCCCTCCTTGATCTGGGGAACAATTTCCTCATTCCAGAAAGGAAGTGCTCTGGCAATGGTGTCCTTGAGACTTTCACAGCTAGGCAGCTGATCCTCTGTAAGGTCACCATAACGCCGGTCCTACCACAGAAGGAAACACAGCATTGTTGGTTCAACAGAAAACACTGAAGTAAGCACTTGTATCAGAACAATCTTTAGTGTGTCACAGCTTTCCTGAGCTGT